TAAAAGAGTAGAAGAGAGGTAGCCTACATCATTAAACTCTAGACCCTTGCTCTCGTAAAGTGTCCTGTGCGAGGTGATCAGAAACCATATGTTACTTGAGTAAGAAAGATAACGCACATGATTAAGCCAATGTCGCCAACTTGTTCCCTTAACTTCTCCCTGGCCGCGTCGTTCCGCACCAGAATACATTGTTGCGCTCCGAACTCAATGTGATGACCGCTGTTGAAACAATTAGATGCAAGCATCAAAGATTAAGTCCTAAGGTGTACTAACGCTGTGCCGAAAAGGAATGATTCATATCGGACGTTGTCCTGATCCCAGCCGGTGAAGAAAACGGGTTTGATTCCGTCGACAATTCCTTTCTCTTCGGGCAAGATGTCGATCGCGTAGGGCCAGAATTCCGTGATGAGCACTATGATCGAGTGAGCGCACCTCACTATCCCACCATGCGAGCGGAAGTTCGTAACAAGCTGGAAAGACTTGGGCGGATGCTGCGCGATCATTCCCGCAGATCGCTGTCTTAGACGTTCCTGTAATATCAAAACCTAGCATGAGGTGTATGGTCTTTTTAAAAAATGTAAGCGACTTGCCTCGTTCCGATGCAAAAACGCTTTCAGGTCGTCGAAACGGAAGGAACTACCAACAGAGATGGTCTGCGCTGTGTCTCCTGCCCAAAATTGACCGTCTGGGTTGCGGCATATGGCTCTAAGGACTGCGTGGAGGTCAAGAACTATCAGTATAGATCAAGACCGAGAAATGCATACGCTTTGCGTCAATCAGCAAATTGTCTTGGACTTCGTCAACGTATCTGTTTCAAGAAACGTGAGCCTAGGACCGAGCGGACTCAGGGGAAACGCAAACAGGAAGTCAATCCTATGAGCTTTCATATCATCCTGCATCATGCTTCGGAGAATCGCGTGCGTCCTGGAAGCCGTATGGTCGATGGTGAGGAAAACTCAATAAGATAATTTCGGCGCATACCGATCTGCGGCATCATGTTCTCCGCGCTCACGCTTCTTTTTCATGTATATTTCGAATAAAGAATAGATTTCATTGCGCTTGCTCGCAAACGTAGCCTGGGTTCGTGCGCTAAGATTTGAATAGGTGTCATAATCGAGGAAATGGTTCTCCGAATTGAGGGTTGTTTCGGAGCCTTTGATGACACCTGGAAAGGAATAATCAACAGGTCTGCGGCAGCGGTAGTGCGCGTGGCAGTTACCCATGAACTCGCTAAATACGAGTGAGATGTCTGAGGGAAAAAAATTGAAAACATGAACACATCTTAGAGAATTAATGGGTGCGACGAACCTAGGCCTTTAGTAAGGGACTGCGGGAAGTGTGCCCAGTATTCCTCCCGGAAAACATCAAACGATACAAAGGATTTACGTCTCTGGAGCATATACTCGTTAGACAGTGCTGGTTGACTTGCCACTGGGCGTTGATCCGCGGCGATACCCAAAGGGCGGCCTATATCCGCTTCAATCATGACAGACAGCTGATGATATGATGTCAACACAGGGGAGTTGTTTAGAATTGAAGATTATCGTACTTTGTCGAATGTGATAAACATTGGGAAGTGGGAATCCTGGAGTTCGCTGAATCTTTGAGGGAGATCTTCACGCCAATTCATGGCCTCGTCTTGGTCAACCAGGCCCGCTTCTTCTCTATTCTTCTGTCTTTCGAGAAGGTCCGAGATATCGCTCTTGGTCTGCGATGGAAGGACGAGCGATTGGAGGAGCTTGATAAAATACTCTTCGACTTTGTCAGCGAGCATTCTCGACTGCGTGACGAAAAGCTGGCGTGGGCGTTCAGATCGAAGTTCGGGATTTTGCTGCCAAGAATTCTCGATGCCCAGCATTTTGAAGAGCATGGTCGTAGTCTTGCTGTACTTGAGGTCAAATTCTGAGAAACGGGAGGTAGAGCAATTCGTACCCAGTCCCACTACGTCCCTGGACGAAACACGAACGGGCATGTTCAATAATTTCTTGCTCGTGAGGACTGCGGAACGGTTGTTATGAGAAGGCCATTTGGAGTATGGAAAAAGAGCTTACGACACTTGGAACACGTGAACGACATCTTGGTCCGCAAGGATACCTATTGAGATATTAAGTAAGGAGCGCAATTACCAGAATGGTGGGCGAGATGGTGGTTGAAGAAGAGGAGGAAGAGGGAAGCGAGGTGATGATGGTCTAGGTTTACAAAAAGTGGTGGACGTACTCGTAAGCAGCGCCTGATATTGCATAGACCGTGAGCAGCTTTCTTTGCCAGGGTCAATGAGACGAACCTACCTGTGAGAACGTAACAAACTTCTCGAGTCTATAAGCTACAGTCAGCGAGTCGATTATGACCTCTGATAATATAAGCTAACACGAGCATCGCATGGAGCTTACGGGGCCGAAATCAGCAAGGAGTCATTAGATGTTGGATTCTGACAAACCTCTTCTAGTACTTCGTCACTGATCGTGGGAAGTTGATCGGGTATCATATTGGGGTCGGGAGGCGGCGTTGGGGGGAAAGTAGCGGGGGGTACGACCTTGTCACCCTTATGTACGGGGTCAGCGCGGAACGTGCAACTGACAAATGAGAAGTTAGGCAGTGCGGCATTCATCTGCAAAGGACACGTACCGTCTCTGGTACTCTTTGCCCTTGCGCCAGAGCTGATAGCCCATAGAGTCCCATAGCCGCTTATCTAGCTGAGCATGGGTATAGATCCCGAAAACCCGAATAGCTGCGCCAAACTAAGCGCATATACGCTGGTTAATCCAGTGTGTCGTACCTTGACGCTCAATCTATGGTAGTATGATAATCGGCTTAAATCAGTACTGTGCTGAAATTGAAGGCACCTACTTGACTATCAAAGTCCTGGACACAGTCAACTTGATACTATATGCGGGTGAGGTGGAAGGTCTGCATGAAGTAGAACTACACCAACCACGAGACGTGAGTCACGCGTCATTTTGGCTTCGTAAATGGGAATTGAAGCATCAGTGCCATTCAAGCGCTTCTGATTGTCGTCGGAGAAGTGGCCGTTCGACAGTTCTCTACATAACTTCTGCGTTAGACAACACACAGAGGTCGAAGGCGAATAAAAATGGGTACTTGATCTTCTTGAGCGTTATGCGAAAGAGATTTGTATCCTTCTTCCTTGCCTCACGAAGATTGCGATCCGCTCTCCCTGAAATCAGAATCCGCCACTGGCCAAACCCATCGGCATTGTCGAAATACAGAGCAGCCTTCATCGGTTGGACTTGAGGGTAGGCAGCAGGGATCTCCTCGGGTGCCTCGATGGTCTGGTCCGATGAGTCGGCCAGGCTTGCGCTTGGTCCTTTAACGGCTACTTCGACGGCAAAAAATGGGATATAATTTCTCTTGAACGCGTTTGTGAGTGATTCAAGGCGGAACACGTTAAGGTACAACTATGAGAAAAAGTGGGTTAAGGTACCAGGAACGAAGGCACGAACAATCGTTTACCAAAAGTATATCCTTCTGTTTCATTAGAATTTCTAGCGCCATCTCCTTCGCTTCATGACGCAAAGTAGGCACCTCGAGATCAAGTGCTAGGAAAGGTGTCATGTCGATGGATTTGTTTGCTTGTCGGGTTCGTTTGGCATATTTTCTTGCCTTCTGAGAAACTTTCGATGAACCCTCTTCAATTTCCAAGACGGAACTTTGAGTGATGCCGGCAAGTACTTGAAGAACCGTGTTCGATAGAGTTACGTATCGGTGAGATGAGTCTAATCCCGGAGGGCGCTCATCGTCATTCGGGCAGTGGACGAATAGGAGCGATACAGAAACGGTCGAAATGAGCCTCGCACAGATAGACGTCGCAGAGTAGTCATCTAGGTCGCGTGGGAATACGTCATTGACCCACTTCGATACGAAGTCGAATTTGTCTTGGGACAATGCTAATAATGACAGGTATAATTCGAATCGCTGATGAGAAATCGTGCGACTTACATGACAAGAGGAACTCAATACACCCTTTCCGCTCCATAGCGACTTCGAGGACAAACTTGACGGTGTCTGGTCGAACAAACGGGTGAATTGAATGAAGTGCCACATCGAGGGCATCATCATCAAGATCCTTCAACCGCTCCGGCTGAAATATGTCCAAGTTGAGAATGGTTTTCGAAATAGACGAATGTTTAGTCGAGCGACTCATGTGAGCAGCGGTGGCGATGGATATGCCTGTTGAAAATGAGAACAAAGGGGGAGATACCCTAAGTTATAAAGCGCGTGGGGACGTGGGCAAGGCCGCAAACGGTAATAGTAAACCTCGTGGCGGGACAACTGAGCGCTAGTACCTTCGACTTAAGAGACAGTTGCCCAGGGCGACATGAAATGTAGGGCCCGAGTCAATCCTTGTAAGAGTACTTGTAGAGGAAGGACGGGAAATAAATGGACATGAGAAAGTGGGACTAAGCGCGAGGTGGAGGAGCAACTTAAAATCGTACTGAATAGTACTGAATGACGGGCTGGCTTTCCGGCAAGCGGCGAGCGGCAAGCGACAAGTTTGAACCCCCCAGTGACATCCCCGATCCACTCAGCGATGACCACGCAACATTGTACTGTTTCAATTACAACTCGCTTTTTTTAGATTTTGTCAACTCCGACTAGGACCTTTTAGAGTACAGTAAATGAAGGCCTGCACCCGCACCAACATCGAAAAGCCACTTTCCCATTTCTGGCTCACAATCACGTTACTCCGACGAACTTTGATGGCACACCTAAAATACGGAAAGCCTGGACACCTTCGCCTATACTTCTCATTTATCTATGATGTCTTATGATTCTCTTTTCGTTTCCAGTAGTATAAAACAGTCGGGCACCCCTCGCGCGTTTGTCCACAATTTCCTTTCCTTTCCCGTTTTGCCGAACTTTCTATGTACTTGAGTTATGGGTGTCTCGTCTGTCCCTTCAGTAAATGATCATGGTCGTGCGCTGCCGAGTGCGGAGAGTCATACAGGGTCTAATAACCCCAATTCTGGTCATTCTCAACCGCCCGCCTAGCTCAATCGGATAGAGCGTCAGACTCTTATAGCGGGCGTGTGGTCGCGCTACGACTACAATCTGAAGGCTGCGAGTTCGACCCTCGCGGTGGGCTAGTCCATGACCTTTTTGCGGTTTCTGCATCGTTAACAACTACTCCGGAATCCGCCGAGGATGGCATCACGAGACATCAAGCGAAGGACAATGAAGACTCGATCAATTGAAGATCAAGTCCTTCCATCCGAGGAGGAAGATTAAGCGCAGGGTGGCCATCGGGCAAAGAGGCAGCCGCGCTTGACCACGACACGATGCCAGCATGTCTCAAATGGCGGGTGAGCCACGCAGCTGATGGTTAGGCAGACAGCAAACCATTTGGGTGCATGGTCTAGTCGACCTAGTTCCGAATATATGGCCAAGTCACCTTCATTCAACGCAATGACGTCAACATGAGAACCGTACGTAGTGCCAGGACACAAACAATCACTGCGGAAACGACTTTATTTGCGGCGCGCTTTAGGGTATCATTATGTAACGTAAAGATACCATTTTCCGATCAGTGCAAGTATGACATAATCATACTCCTCCATGTCAGAAAAGAATGTGTTCAGAGACCCTAAAGATCGTCCGCTTTGCTTCTTCCTGAAGTGATTCTCAGAGTCAGCTTTTTGACATCGAACATAAGCAGACCTGTCTTTATGTACTTATTTCTCTCAGTTTATGGTTTGCTTAGTATGGGTTTTATCACAGATTATGATGTCATTAGAGTCAGAAAAAAAATAGTAGTACGCTAGCAGCTGAAACAGCCCTGGTATATTTCCTTCCCTCGTCCCTCGCGCTCTCTCCCACCATACAATCTGACACGCGTCCGAGCAGCCGTGCAAAGTCGATTAAAGCCAGACGTTGACCCGCTGCTCCACGACCAGCAAAGTGGAAGACTCCGCGAACACAGAGCGAACTGTGCATACATGCAACATCATAAAGAGAATGTCACCGCGCCCCCATCGTGTAGACAATAATTGGTCCTTCAGTCTATTTGCTCGATCGTAAAAATCGCTGGGCATGGGGATAAGGGAGGGTGGAGAGTCGTACAGGAGGATGAGAATGTCGGAACACCATTTGAAGTGGCTGATGATGATGACTGGTCCGTGTGAAGCTGCGGAAACGGAGCGCATCGAAAGAGGGTGGTGTTAAGAAGTCCCCTAAGCCAGGCAAGCTTCGAATATGCGAAACAGAAACCATCTTGGTTTTCATCGAAGTAACGGAACGCTTGGCTTTCACCCTGCAGGCCCTTCATGAGTTGTGTGAACTCGTTGTCTGTGAGATGCATCAGTGCTGCCTGCAATAACAATCGCATAAGGATATTAAGGAATTCATACAGCCAAGAACGTGGGCGCCGCTCTTCTTCCCTAAGTGGAGCTTGACCCAGTCGCTGGAACCGTCCACCCAGCTCAATTCATCCAAGGCTACTCACCGATGCATCTGCACTGGGACCCTCTGTCAGATCCATGAACTCGACCGCCAGAATCTCGTCGCCGTCTTCCATGCCGGCCTGACCGTGCCTTCTGGAATGAACATGCCTTCATACCATTCATCTTCTATGGACTGGTGGGGGAGGCCGACAGGGTCGACTGGGCGCCATCGCAAGGTCTCCTTGACAGTACTAGTGGCGCGGATGTAAGGGAGGTGGGGATAGTCGGCAAAGGTAGGTAAACGTGTGTGGCCCACAACTGCGTCGAGCTCCGCCTCTTCGCTCAGCATCTACTTGACGCGCGCGCGCCCGAGCCAGCAGAGCTCGGACTGGCCAGTGGTGCGCCCGGCACGACACCATTCACCAATCTCGAGGAGGTCCTGGTCAGTTCACCAGCCTTCTTCCCGCTACCACCTCCACTCCCGCCCGTCTCCATGCGATCCGATCAGGCTGCGAAGAGCTTCACATGTTTCGTCTTGTGTGAAATCTTGAAGAGCTCTGCGCGATAACGACAGACAACTTTGACGATGATGTCGGGTGACTGGCGGTACTTAAGGTCTTGCATTTTGGCTTTCTCGGCCTGCCGTGAGATGTCGTTCTTCATTTGCACGATCTGAGCGGGGGAAGCAGTGAGAGAGGGTGAACGGCATGTGCGTGTAGACTTTTGTGCACACCTCATCCTGAGCTTCTTCCACTGACTGCGAGAGCCGCTTCCCATCCTCCTGAGACTGATTGGACTCCTATATAGTAGTATGCCTTTCGTAACATTCACTTAGTACCCTCAACCGCTTCCTGCAAAACTACGAGTACGCACCAGTCAAAATAAAAGGGGATCGTGTCAGGGTCAATTTCAGCTGAGAACATGCCTTTGGAATTGTCAAAGGTGATAGTACCGAAACCATCCCTATACGCAACATACATTAGCCATCCCAGTCATGTGTGCAGAACAGGGGCTTGCACACGCATACATGTCAAAGTATTGGAATGCAATGTAGTAACCCGCGTCTCATCGCTTGAGCAGAGTTTGAAAGACCACAAAGTTGTCCCATGACAAGAGCCCACGCTTCACGCCGTCTGCGATGCGAAAGAGAGTGGCGAATTGCGCATGGCCAATACGCGTCAAGTCGAGGGCGCGATAGCATTAATATTGACGAATTGTTCACGGTCCAGAAACCTGGAAGAAATGCTGTATTTCAATCGAGGTTTGGAACAAGAAAAAAAAACTAAGAATACACACTTTTCACCGTCAATGAGGGATTTTGTGTTCGCTTCAAAGGTCTGCCGCCAGCGCTTTATCTCTGATTCTGGTACACGCACAGCACTCTTGACGGTCTGGATGACGCATGCTGCAGGGTTTCCATCGTAATCCACATGCATGACGGGTAAAGAGTCGGGTGGTGATATGGAAGGTGCCATGTACACGCGGGGGGATCAACGACTTTCGTTTTGAATTGGAGCATGAGCAGACAGAACACATTAAACAACCAGTCTTGACCAAGGAGGGGAGGTACGGTGACCTCAAACATGTTGCAGGGGTCGGGTGATGCTGGCATATGTGGTTGAGCGCGGGGAGGAACGACTTGGGAAAAAAAAACACACCATGCTGTTGAAGCTAGGCCGACACAGAAAAGCCTGTGAAAAGCACTATGAGCTTCAAAAGACAGCCCAGATTATGGTCGGATTAGAAGAGAGAGCGAGGAAAAGGAAGAGGTTCGGAAAAGGCGCGGTTTATAAGACTGAGCCTCAAAGCAGACCTCACCTTAGGGTCGGAAAACGCACGCGGTGGGACCCAAAAATCACACGGTAAGAAAATGGTCGGATTAGAGTCAGAAAAAATGTTAAGTCAGCTTATGGTGTCATTATTATGTATTTTCCGTGCACTTTATCCTTTGCCAAAAAACTCGTTTCCGCAGTGAATGAGTGTAAATGAGAATGGCAGATACTCAGAAGACGGCACCAATTTCTAATGTAAAAACCGGGAAGCATCCATAAATTAGAGATTCTTCACAGCCGTAACTGAATGCAGATGGAGGGGAGGCAACGACGACGTAGAGATTTTAATCAGAGATTAAAGCAACCAGCGTGAGATGTCCAGCCCTGAGGCCTGAGGCACTCATCGCCAGACATCTGTGTTGGCAAGGGTAGTTTGAATGAAACACTGGAGTATCGATCGGCTAGTACATAAGCTACCTAAGCCTACCTTGAGCATTGTTGAGCAGCCGATGAATTGGGAGAAATGTGGAATGTCGTATATGGTTCGACCGTGAAGATCTATGCTTCAGACGTCAAGTTGAGGGGCATCGATCCAGGCTACGAGGTCCTTAAGCAATGACATAAGCATTCGCTTGCGCCTTCGAAAAAAAAAGTCTGGAAAACGGGGAGAACTGCGCGCACAGGAGGAGGTGTACGTCGGCTATTCTGATCAGGGCGAGTCTGATAGAATTGAAATCCAAGGGAGAAATTCTTGAAAGAGAAATGAAGCAAAGGATGAGCTCGAGCTCGACAAGGTTCAGATGATGAAGACAAAAAGGAAATGGAGCGCCTTCGAAACGAGAAGCGGAGAAGCGGATACACCCAGGAGGAACTTGAATGAATCAGGGACGAACTGGGGCCCTCCGAGGCTATCATCGATACCATCGCTTGACAGAAAGCTTCAGTTCTAGTTTTTGTCAGCTCCGAGAATGGTCACGGTCCTTGCCTCGCCCCCGAGACCAACTCCAATAGCGAACTTAAGTTAGAAGACACCGGAGCTAGATTATACATGCGCGATTGCCGATTCGCCGTGTTCAGTACATTTAATTACAGACCAACCTGGAAAGGCCCCTGGGGACCGCCGGTCCGGAAACTGCCCGTGCCACATGACCTTTCTGCCGAGGCAGGCGTAACTCGGATCACTCAGTTGACTAGTGATCATGACTAGCACCTTGATCCTTGATCATGAAGCAGACAACACAGATACTTGAGCAACCTGGTTGCTAGCATTTCGTTTCTCAGATGCGATGCTTTTTATACCTCACACACTGATCTTATGTTACAATCCATCAGTGCCTTCTGTTCTTTGCCTTCAAGGTTGGCGCATGCATGCGAATATAAAAATTATGTCCACTCACACATGTCTTCTCTAGCTTCTCGCTCACTTTATTAACTGGGTACTGGATAGTGCGTGTGCATTTCCCCTCACTTTTAATCTGCCAACCACTATCTCTCCATTTTTAGCTCACTTTCGTTAGCTCTGGACTTTTTTTTTTTGACAACTGAAATATCTCGAGCACTCATATTGACTACTCAACCAATAACGCCATCAACACACCCAACAAAAATGCGTTCATACTACATAGTCTCTGGAATCCTTCTCATCCTTCGCATCATCGACTTCGCTGTCGCGGCGCCTGCCAGTGTGCTAGTACAAGAGAAACGCCAAGCAGGCGTCGATGTGGTGCCCATACCCGAGGACGCGATAACTATGTCGGGGAAGCGGGGCGATAATTTCGACGAGCTGGTCCTTGAGCTCTTCGGCGTCCCCAAGGACCATTCCGAAAAACCGGAGTCGTCGTCGGCCGCACGTCCGTCGTCGAGCTCGCAGCCGTCGGAGCCTGCTGTAGGGTGGACGGACCTCACGCAACCGCTACCGTCAATCCCCGAGGAGC